AGATGGCCTCGTCTTTGCTTCATAACTTGCAAGTACTCAGCTTCTGGGGTCTCTTCTCCTTTTCTAATGTATTTCAATTAGAGGAGGCCTTATTGTGTGGCTTAAGTCTTATTTATCAAGTATTACTTGTCATTACATGTCACTTTAAGCTGAAGTAAGCAAACAAAATTTCAGAAAAAAGAAATTGTCAAAGAGTCTGTTGTATCACATATTATCAGGGATTTATGACAGCTATTCATGAAGAGCAAATGATACGAAATGATAGAACCCAAACGAAATGATAGAACCCAAAATTGTTCTTTCCTAGGGAGGTAATTAATTTTTCAGCTTAACATAGGCCTGGATGCCTTCCAGTCTCTCTTTATCCAGTTATCTGCTGGACGCAAGTGCATGTTTTGACAGAGAAGCAAGCACCATGGCACAAGTCATATCATTAACAATTTCCGCAGTTTGTCTAAGCTTTACAAAGCAAAAACAAACAAAAAAGAATCTGGTCTCATAAACGAAAAAAAGAAACAAGTTAGCCCAAGCTTCAAAAAACAGCCCAGTTTATCATGAAGCCTCTACATTTGGCACTGAAGCACTCATGTCCAAAAATAATAACAGCTTATCAAGTCGTAAAAGTGAGACTCAAGTGGTACAAGATTGACTCAAATGATAAATGGTGAATAGTTTAACTGCTGAAACTGTAGAAAGGGGGCCGGGCTAACTTTTAGGGCCTGTTTACATGGAGGAAGGGGACCCCAGGTAGGAATGGTAACCCACTTAGGTGGGGTAACCCGCCTGTCCATATAATCTCTCATTTTAATTTGATCACGTTTACATGATAGGTGGGGTCACCCTTCAAGGTGGGTAGCCCGGTCTGCCACACCAGGTAACCCTCTCAGCTCAGGTCAAATTTTACCTTGTCAACGTTTCAAGGTGAGGAAACCCAGGCTAGTCGGGGTCGGATTCGAGATACATCAAATTTGCGCAAAATTCACTTTGGCGCTGGGTGGCTTCACATAATTATTAAAGCTAACAATAGAAAGCCACAACACTGAAGGTTACAGCAAGAGCAGCAACTGAGCGTAGACGTGGTTTGCCAGCATTTTTCTTGCTTACATGGTTAGCGACCCTTCAGATAATCTTGAGAAACTGCACCCCATTATGGCGGGGTTGTAAGATTGCATGTAAGGGAGGGTTATTTTTTTACCCCACCTAAGCAGGTTACCTCACCTACCTGGGGTCTCCCACCTTTATGTTAACAGGCCCTAAGTCTCAGGAACCGTGAGACTGGTAATGAACGGTATACCTAACCCGGAACTAGCTGTGATACTACTTCCATCTTCAAGAACGTCAGCATAGCAGCCAAAGAAGCCATTATATCGGTGTAAAATGAATATTAGATTGCGGTTGTTTCATGCGCCTCGTTTTGTGACTTTTTCTGTGTTCGTTTTTGTCACCATCTCTAAATATCAATCATGTTCAAAACACCCCTACTAACAAAATATTTCAAAAAGCTCTTTAGAATGATATTCAGCAATAAAAACAAGGTGTGACCAGGAGCCGATTTCTAGGCTCCTGGTGTGGCAACATAGGTATAAGTGAATGCAAAGTTTTGCAGTATGTAATCTGTCAAAAATCTGTTTGAGTGGTCAAAGTTGGGGCTGATGGGCTTCTTTATCGTGACCACTCCATTATTATAAGGGACCAGGCCATAATTATTGTTGACCCTTGCTTTTTTGGTATTTTATGTGATTTTCCACAGCATTATTTTGTGAAAAGTTGGTAACTGAATTGCTCTTGAGGAATTCATGATCGTAAGATTTCGTAACCACGGCGTATTCGCCTAATTGCATCAAACAAATTACATTCATTTTCATAAATGATGCATCCATCATTGGTTGGCTAAAAGAGGCCTTGTTCCTGTAAATTTCAGCTCTTCTGAAGTTAGTTTGTTTGTAAATTGTAACGCACGCGACGACCTTCCTTTTTTTTGAAAGATCGTATAGACCTACCATTAACACCCTGGTCCAAGGGCTCTGAAGTGAATGGGCCGCTTACAGGTGTATAGGCATGCAGGGACCTCATACACTTCTTTTTAAATGCAAATGTGCAAAAAATAAAGAGTGTTAAAAATTCCTGGAGAGGCATGTTTTACAACCTCGTCCCCAGGGCTTAATAAAAAGGTAGAAAAAGGTAAAGCGACCATATTTTACGTCAATAACTCATGACAGTAGTAATAAGTGATAAACTTGAGGTCCACAGTTCGCTCCTTTTACCCCCCTTTCTCCATTAATTCTCCGTTTTAAGGGTATTTAAAGCTAGTCAAAGCTACACAGAAAAAAGAGAAGTTGAAATAAGGAGGTGTTGACACCGGGCTCGAACTCAGGACCTCTCGCCCCGAAGGCTGCACACTAACCAACTGTGCCACCCTTGTTCCTCCTTTTCCCCCTGAGGATGAGGTTGACATGTTTTAATCATTATCTCAAGGACAGGGTTACCAACGAAGCAAATT